GCAACTTTCGATTTTCTTTTTATTTCAATTACTTTTAATTGTATGGGCTCTTGTATAAAGAAAATGAGTTTAAACCAACGTATCTTGTTTTAGGCTTAGACTAAGACAGTCATATGAAGCGATAAACACTTATTTTTGCTTGGATTTTCTTCTTTTCATGAAATTTGAACTAAAATTTTGTTTTTTTCATTTATCTGCATTTCCTTACTCTCCGAATGGATCAAGTTTGTCCCCATTGTGTTTCCTTCATGCAATCTCTCTAATATGTCATTTTAAATTAGTGATAATTGCAAAATTTTTGGCTTGTTAACATGGCTGCTGTTAAAGTTTCCACGATTCCTTTTGTGAGCAGATCATCTTCCTTGGATTGTGTAATTAAGATGAAGCCTTGCTATATAACAACGCGCTCTGTAAACTTGTCTCTTTCATAATCACTACAGGCCTTATCTCATACTATATAAATGTGACAGAATAATAACGAATTGTTACCCCGTTTTGCTTACCTTTCTCTTTATTTCTATTGTAGGCAACTTTTACTTGACTGTGGATTCCGGGGGAATGAAATAAGCCCCACCTCTTTGCGTCAATCCCTCGGCTGGTGCGAACGTTATTTTGCAACTCTTCACGTTTCTGCAAATCAACCCTCTGTTGCACCCACTCTACCCATAGCTTCATCTTGCCCCCGGACCGCCAAACGAATAAGGCTTTCAAAACCACGGCATTCTCATCAAGCTAGCCCTGGATCTGTGCCTGAATTATCTCATCAAGAACATGCTAAGCCATTAGGTAGTTCGAATTCAAGCCTTTTAGATAAGCCAACTTTAATTGACTCAAATGTCGATGTAGACGACCGAGATGATGGTGAAGAGGATAGTGAAGATGATATACCATTCCCTTCTGTCCCTGGTCAGACAATTGCTCCAGTAATATCTTCCACTTTGCCCAGTCTCCTTGGTACACATCGGGCTCTCCTTTTTTTCCAGACGCGTAGCATGCTTCATCTTGTAGAAATGATGATCAGGTTAGTCTGCATTTATTAGCATTTTATAAATATTTTTTTAAATTGTCTAACCTATTTTTCTACTTTGTGCTAATAAGGTGTATTTGCTAACCTTTTTAGTTCAGATATAAGCTTTATAGTATACGCCTAAAGCCCAAATTGCCAGCCACTTTTAAAATAACAATAGTTGTAGATACGAAGAGGAATTTGGT